ACAGCAAAGGCTTATATCTCACTCATGCAATGTGTCCAGTGATGAATAGAGCCAGGTAGGAGGGGTGGTGCTCATCAAAGACACTCAGGGACCCAGGCTACTAGGAACTCCTGATGTTAAAAAAGCAAACTGCGCACCAACTCCTAAAACTTCCCCCTGGTGGTGGGAAATCACTCTCACTCTTATTTTGCTGACCAGCAAGTCCCGTGGGCGTAGTTAATGTCAAAGTGGGTGAAAAGTATCATAGTCATTTTATCATGTACCTAAAGAGGAAGGAGAATTAGAATATTTGTGAAAAGACTAATGACTTTTCACAAATACTAAGAGGAAGATATTGCTGTCACCATTTACCAAACTAAAAGCTCAGAGCTTAAGTGCCTTGGTGGAGGATACGTAGCTAATAAATGAAAGCCTGCATTGGGAAGCCTCCCAAGCCTGCATTCACAACTAGTACTTTAGATTCCATTGAGATACTGTTAATTATGGATAGATTTTTCGAGACATCCCCATTGGGAGAGTAGGTGAAAAACTTTGGCTCAGGCTTTGCTTGATCTCATAGTAGGATAGGTCACAGGTCTAGAGAGATCCATATCATGGTCACCAACTTCTACTGGATATTGGTTTCTGCCTTAGACGGGGGTCCATGTAATCCCATCTCAAAAGGTAGAGAAGACCCATATCCTGTCACTACCTTCATAACCACAGATCGTATCCCTCGGGTTCTGGAACATTCCCTCACTTCCCAATATTACCTCAAACCTGTTTGCAGTCAATCCTCATTCTCGCTCTCAGCCCGCCTGCCCCCTCAGCAAGAACCGAAAAACTCTCAAAAAACTCAAGACCCAAGAGCCCTGTGTGATTGGATCCAGTCACATAAACTTCTTGGAAACCAATCAGAAACCAACAAAAATGCTGATGGAGGGTCCATTTTCGTGAGTAAGGCATAGCAGCAGGTAAGTCCCTGGTGCCCCAAGGGAAGGGGGTCTGTGGAGTTCTAGGTACTATGTGCCGAGAGCCCTGTGCTGGTGAGGGGTGCGCTCCAGGCTCAGACCTGGTTTGGAAACCTGGCTCTGCTGGCTGGCCATGAAACCTTGTGCAAGATCTCCCAGCCTCAGTTCCCTCCTGTGAAAATAGAAATAATATACGGGAGGATCCTTTCCACGGGGTTGCTAGGATTTAATCAGAAAACATGTGAAAAGCACTTAGCATGGCGCCTGGAACTTACTGAGGTTCAGTGGTCATGTTAATAATACCAACAACATCATGGTTGTCATCAAAGTATTGAGGTAGATGGAGACAGGAAATTCTCCAGATTTGGTGCTCAGGGCTTTGCTGGCCTTTGATTCATGTTCTTGACTGAAGTCATCCTTGGATAACCTTACCCACCTCTGATCATGCCCTGCTTCTGTCAACGCTGGTCCAGGGCCATGTATAATACACTGAGGTAAAGGAAGGGAATTCGAGAAGAATAAGATAAGAACAGACCAGTTAGGAGCAGGAGAGACATTAATTTCCTGGAGGGCAGAAACAACATAGCACTATGGTTAAGAACACAGTTCTGCCTTTTTATGAGCTCTGTGACCCTGCGCAGGTCACTTACCCTGTCTGTCCATCTGTCTAGGAGAACTCATAGAGCAAGGTCATCAAGACAACTCTACTTTTGTCCCCTCTTATCTCCTTAAAATTTTGGGGAGGTATGTCCTTGTCTTGGCACAAGATGGAAACTTCAGGCAGGCAACATGACCTTCCCTTTCACGCCTCATTTTTACCAAAAAAAAAAAAAAAGTCATATGATTTCTAAGTCATAGATGAGTCTCATTTCCAAAATCAGAATGTCCTATCCAATATATTAATCAATACTTCAAACTTTAAAGATAAGCCTATCTTCCTCTTCCTCCATCTGTGGCCCACCATCATGGCAGCTTGCCTTTGGGAAGAGGGAAATAGACATGATCTTCCCCTGAGACACACACA